AAGTTATTTATAAACTTACAAGGAATAAAAAATTCCTCTAAATCCCTTACTCGCAACAGTCATACAGCACTGGAAACAACAGAACTCCACGGACAAAGGACACAGAGCAACCTAATGACTGTGCCGTCAAAGAACGTGCTTATCCATCACGCTGAAATTTCAACAAAGACAAGAAGACTAAGTAGGCTAGACATAATATTCAGTCAAAAGTTAATCTGACATTGAAAAACTAGAATATGAGATCCCATTAAGAACAAACAACAATGGTATCACTGCGTCTGAGTACTTATTTAAAGTAAAAGCAGAAAACTGGAATAGAGAACGAAAGCAAGAGACTAGTTAACTAAGGAAAATAAGTTAATCTGCTTATAAATACAATGGGACAATGAAAAAAATGGAAAAGTACCCAAAACAGCATGAATTACTTTACTAAGAAATGCAAAGCGGCCACAAATTCATCCCAATAAGTATAACTAGGTGAGTATACAGCTGAGTTAGTGAAGACTTACTCTATTCATAGTTTGAAAGAGGTATGACAACAAAGTAGCTTGCGAAATACTGCACAAATTATATGGAAGTTAAGCAGAGACCAAAGAAATAGATCTGTTTAATCACTTGAACAAGTGAAGGTAAAGACAATCAAATACAGACACCAAGGAGAGATAAACAAATCATTCAACGAATCAAGCAACAATTCAAGCATGGAATCCTTGGTACGAGAGGCGCGCACACAACTATCAATGCTAAAATACTGCACTTAACAGTAATGTGAAATAAGCTAGAGGAAGGTAGGTAGGTCATATGGTGTATATCTCGTGATTAGTGGACGGAAGCTCGAGTCTCAACCAGTTCGTGTGCTGAATGACCAACTAGAGTTCAGGGTTCCACATAAAATAAAAATAAATCTACATGGTTGTGGTGTGCACTCTGGGAGGGTGGCGTGACGAGCCCTGCTGTCAATTACACAAGAGGGAAGGATTCATGCGGCAAGGCCAGCCAGCAGGCAGGAATGAGAGGCGACAGTGAAGAAGATGCAGCACTGAGAGAAAGGAGTGAGGGAAGAGGGATGACGAAAAGCGGGATTAAGTGAAGAGCACAGGAGTAAGGAGCCTGGAGGGAATAACTGGATAAAAGGGGGCAGGAATAAGAGTGAAGGAAATAAAGGATAGAAGAGCGTAAGAGCGCGGAGAATAAGTAGAGAGAAGAGAGCAGGAGTAAGGAAAGTGGATAGAATCAGCTGATATCAACGAAAAGGAATAAGGAAGCAGTGGAAGAAGCAAAGACAGAGAGTAGGAGGACTGGCTAACGAGAACAAGGAAGGAAACAGAAGGCAAGAATGTGACACTTTGGAGAGACTAAGGAGGGGGGGAGGGGGGACATAGCTTGTACACATGACTTTCTGTACCTTTTCATACCTAGTGAAACTGTGTAGTGTGTACTCATCTAACTGTGCTTGAAGGGGTCGAGTCATAGATCCTGGCCCCGCCTCTTCACTGGTCGCTACTGGGTCACTCCCTGCGCTGTGAGCTTTATCATACCTATTCTAAAGCTATGTATGGATCCTGCCTCCACCACCACACTTTCCAGACTATTCCACTGCCTAACAACTTTATAACTGAAGTACTTCCTAACATCTCTGTGACTCATCTGAATATACAACTTCCAATTGTGACCCCCTGTTGCTGTGTTCCATCTCCTGAACATCTTATCTGTGTGTACGCGTGCGTGCGTATTAGACTGTCAGTGCGCGTGCGTATTAGACTCTGCGCGTGCGCATTAAACTGTCAGCGCGCAACAACTCTTTCGTACAGTTAAGCAATTAGTGTGAGGGGAAGACAAGTCAAGTATCCAGAATAAGTCTCATCAGGACAAGCGTCTTAGAAATGTTGCGAGAGACTGCAACACACAAAGATAGCAACAAGGTCAACACTGTGTAACAAACCATGAGAGCTACAGTTGCAGGTTCATAAAGACTAAAATGCCCTCTGTGGTGTCAGTTACCCATCTGTAAGGCCTAGATTTATTGCAGCATTAAGGTGACAGTCACAGCCAAGTTACACACATGTTGTGGCAATGTTGCAGTTTTGTGAAAACTATGATAGAACCGTTATAGCAATACTAGCAAGCCCATCAAGACAACAGTTGCAAGCCCTTTATAACAACAGTTATAGACCCATTATAACAACAGTTATAGACCCATTATAACAACAGTTATAGACCCATTATAACAACAGTTATAGACCCATTATAACATCAGTTATAGACCCATTATAACATCAGTTATAGACCCATTATAACAACAGTTATAGGTTCATTATAACATCAGTTATAGACCCATTATAACATCAGTTATAGACCCATTATAACATCAGTTATAGACCCATCATAACATGTTATAGACCCATTATAACATCAGTTATAGGCCCATTATAACATCAGTTATAGATCCATTATAACAGTTATAGGTCCATTATATAAGTTATAGACCCATTATAACAACAGTTATAGGCCCATTAAAACATCAGTTATAGACCCATTATAACAGCATTATAGGCCCATTATAACATCAGTTATAGACCCATTATAACATCAGTTATAGGCCCATTATAACGTCAGTTATAGGCCCATAAAATTATTAACATTAAGTTATAGCCCCATTCATCTTATAACAGTTATAAAAGATCCCATTATAACATCAGTTATAGACCCATTAATAACAACAGTTATAGGCCCATTAAAAACATCATTTTAAGACCCATTATAACATCAGTTATAGGCCCATTATAACATCAGTTATAGGCCCATTATAACATTAGTTATAGGCCCATTATGACAACAGTTATAGGCCCATTATGACAGCTATAAGTCCATTATAATAGTTATAGGTCCATTATAATACAGTTATAGGTCCATTATAAGAAGTTATAGACCCATTATAACATCAGTTATAGACCCATTATAACAACAGTTATAGGCCCATTATAACATCATTATAGACCCATTATAACATCAGTTATAGACCCATTATAACATCAGTTATAGGCCCATTATAACGTCAGTTATAGGCCCATTATAACATTAGTTATAGACCCATTATAACAGTTATAGACCCATTATAACATCAGTTATAGACCCATTATAACAACAGTTATAGGCCCATTATAACATCAGTTATAGACCCATTATAACATCAGTTATAGACCCATTATAACATCAGTTATAGGCCCATTATAACGTCAGTTATAGGCCCATTATAACATCAGTTATAGACCCATTATAACATCAGTTATAGGCCCATTATAACATCAGTTATAGGCCCATTATAACATCAGTTATAGGCCCATTATAACATTAGTTATAGGCCCATTATGACAACAGTTATAGGCCCATTATGACAGCTATAAGTCCATTATAATAGTTATAGGTCCATTATAATACAGTTATAGGTCCATTATAAGAAGTTATAGGCCCATAATGACAATTGTTATAGGCCCATTATGGCAAGAGTCAAGATGGCGACGAGGCTAGGCTCACCTGTCCACAACATTTATCTTCATTATTATTAATTTTTACGGCGTGACCAGGAGAAGAGAGAAACAAAGAGAAAGGGGAGGCGATGGGAGAAGAGAAAGGGAGAGAAGAGGGTGTTGAAAATGGAGGGGATGATGAAGACGGAATTATCGTGTGGGTGTTGTAGGAGTGGTGTGGTAGATGTGTGGTAGGGGTGGTGTAGTAGGAGTGGTAGATGTGTGGTAAGGGTGGAGTGGTAGATGTGTGGTAGGGTGGAGTGGTAGATGTGTGGTAGGTGGTGGAGTGGTAGATGTGGTGGTAGGGGTGGAGGGTGATTTGTGTAGGGTGGAGTGGTAGATGTGTGGTAGGGTGGAGTGGTAGATGTGTGGTAGGGGGAGAGGGTAGATTGTGGTAGGGGTGAGGGGTAGATGTGGTGGTATGGGTGGAGGGGTTAGATGTGTGGTAGAGGGTGGAGTGGTAGATGTGTTGGTAGGAATATGAGTGGTAGATGTGTGGTAAGGGTGGAGTGGTAGATGTGTGGTAGAGTGTAAGATGTGTGGTAGGAGTGAAGTTGTAGATGTGTGGAGAGGTGAGTGGTAGATGAGGTGGTGGCGTGGTAGATGTGTGGCAGGGTAGAGTGGTAGATGTGTGGTAGGAGTAGAGTGGTAGATGTGTGGTAGGAGTAGAGTGGTAGATGTGTGGTAGAGGTGGAGTGGTAGATGTGTGGTAGGAGTGGAGTGGTAGATGTGTGGTAGGAGTGGAGTGGTAGATGTCTGGTAGAGGTGGAGTGGTAGATGTGGTAGGGTGGCGTGGTAATGTGTGGTAGTAGATAGTGGTAGATGTGTGGTAGAGTGGTAGAGTGGTAGATGTGTGGTAGAGTGGAGTGGAGATGTTAGTGGTGGGTGGTAGATGTGTGGCGTGGTATAGTGTGGTAAGTAGTTGTGGTAGATGTGTGGTAAGAGTAGAGTGGAGATGATGTGTGGTAGATGTGGAGTGGAAGATGTGGTAGTGGTGGCGTGGTAGATTGTGGTAGGAATAGAGTGGTAGATGTGTGGGAGGAGTGGAGTGGTAGGTGTGTGGAAGAGGTGGAGTGGTAGATGTGCGGTAGGAGTGGAGTGGTAGGTCATAATGAAGACAGAGAGAGAGAGAGAGAGAGAGAGAGAGAGAGAGAGAGAGAGAGAGAGAGAGAGAGAGAGAGAGAGAGAGAGAGAGAGAGAGGTGTCTCCCTTACTTCGTCGCGCCTTACTCCAACAAGAAAAATAATGAATGTGTAATGTCGTGATGAAAATACAAAGAGCCTCTGATACGGAGATATTCGCACTCGATTGACGAAAAACGACCAGAGGTACGACTTCGAAAAACACAGAAGTTTCAAGTTCCATTTCTGAGCTAGTTAACCTAAAACACATTTTTTAATCAAGTATTTCAAGCGGAGTTTAAGAGAGTGCCAGTAATTTTAAAGGAAACACAGAAACAAGTGTAATGTTAACTGGAGGAAGACGAGTGCAGATCTTGTGCTGCTGGCAACGCTGTGTCCCGCCGCCAGCATGTTGTCATCTGCGCATCTGGAACAGGAAAATAATAAAGAGATGGTTTCATGCATGGATGGTTCACGGGGGATCAGAACAGCTACAAGGAAAATGCTAGATTTTCTTCTGCGGATTCATGAATGAGAACGGTGCAAACCGTGTTTTAATCCATTTATACAGCGGAAATACTCCGGATGTTTCCAGTTACAACAAAAAAAAATGTCAGTAACATCGATTTAAAGTCAAATGGAAGTTACGACACGATTCCTCTGGTCATTTGTTTTTTCTGCAGCTGCTGCTGCCGCCAGGAATAACATCGCTATAAAATGTTTTACACACAACCCTCATCAACAACACACAGCAACAGCCCCAAATTCTGCCAATCCACATTTTAACATATATAATCAATTATAAATGAAATAGCATTCTCATCTGTGTGGATAAGTAAACACAAAACAGGAGTATAGGGTGAGGGAAAAAAAAAAAAATCTCCTTTGACCTCAGCACGGAGTCGCAATCATCTTTAAAGCTACCGAGTCTCTCTGGTGTCCAGGTCACACCTGAGACCCCAAACCTCTTTCTATTGGTCACTTCTAAGACTCCAAACCTCTTTCTGGTGGTCACATCTAAAACCCAAGGCTTTTCTGTTGTGTCCTGGTCACACGGGAGACCCCAGACTCTAGCCAGCCAGCAGGCACACTTCACCACTAAACACAATAATTATAACATGATACAGCAGAGCACAGTGTTTCCCCTCTATGTAGAGCTTTATCCAACCAAACAATGTTGCAATAAAAGCTTGCTCTGCATCTACGATTTTTCTTCAACAATTATAATATGTGAGTACAGTTATGTTAATCCACGTTACTAGAGAAATACACACACTAGGATGAACACGCTCGCTGGAGTGGTAGCAACCCTACCTGGGATACCCGCCTCTGTCTATCACAGCCTAAATGTTAAGCGCATCTGAAACTTTCCAGGACCTCAGAATTCGCTGTAGTTCTCATTAGTATACTAAAGTGATAAGTTGCTTAGATATCTTAGGTCAAAGTAAATGTTAACGTTACTGCTGAAGTTATAATGATAGGTACAATAAGTCTTACAATGACAGGTACACCTCATGCCTTACAATGACAGGCACACCTGATGCATTAAAATGACAGGTATACTTGATGCATTACAATGACAGGTACACCTTATGAATTACAAATGACAGGTACACCTGATGAATTACAAATGACAAGTATATCTTATGCCTTACAATGACAGGGACGTTCGATGCATCACAATGACAAGTACACCCTATGCCTTATAAAAATGACAACGTCGATGCCTACAATGAACAAGTACACCCTATGTCTTACAATAACAAGTACACCTTATGTCTTACAATAACAAGTACACTCTATGCCTTACAGTGACAAGTACACCCTATGCATTACAATGACAAGTACACCCTATGCCTTACAATGACAAGTGAACCCTATGCCTTACAATGACAAGTACACCCTATGCCTTACAATGACAAGTGAACCCTATGCCTTACAATGACAAGTACACCCTATGCCTTACAATGACCCCTCAAGGAAGGTTCCTTGATGTTGGTGAGGGGCTCTTGATTTAGGAAATTGGATCTGTGCTCCAGTTCCCCGAATTAAGCCTGAATGCCTTCCACATCCCCCCCCCCAGGCGCTGTATAATCCTCCGGGTTTAGCGCTTCCCCCTTGATTATAATAATAATGCCTTACAATGACAAATACACCCTATGCCTTACAGTGACAGGTACACCCTATGCCTTACAATGACAGGTAGACATCATGCCTTGCAATGACAGGTACACATCATGCCTTACAATGACAGGCACACATCATGCCTTACAATGACAGGTACACATCATGCCTTGCAATGACAGGTATACCTTATGCCTTACAAAGACAGGTACATTTAACAAATTGCATTACAATCAGAATCCTACTTAGGAGTCTTCAATCCCCCACATTAATACTGCGTGTCGTTCTTGTTGTCATATGACCTACACGACCACCGTTGAGGAGGTCGCCACCTCGACCAAGTCACCGTCACTATTGAACGCACACTCCAGGAGGCTCCCAGCCTTGGAGAAAATCCCTAATTTACGAGGAGGATCCGAGAGGAGGATCGAACTGTCTTACTGCCAAAGAAGTAGGCTCCCCCACCCCCTACTTCAGGGATCACCTACACTACAAGTTATCACAATATTCGCTGACGGGTCCTGGTATCGAATATGGGATCCTGAGATTACCTAGGCAGACGGGGCCATGCTCTCTACCACGATAGTGCCCCCGAGAGTGACCGTTATGAAGACAGTAACCACCACAGTGACTAACACTGCAATATTCCCAACAGTGACAGCTATGAATGCAAATACTGCCACAATAAATACAGTCACGTAGTAGTCTGGAGACTGGCCACTTTCCAATTCATCAACTCAGCGATCGTCCTTCTTCAAGGTCAACATATTAAGAAAACCAATAGACAATATATATTAAAATACCCAACCATTACCTGAGTTCACTGCGGAAATGGGAATTTGTGTTCACGAAACCAATAAGACTTATTAAAAGGCAGTCTGAGCCAGAGAAACATTTTCTCTATTATTCATGAAAAATATAAAAGGTAAATTATTTTAAATTTCAGTTAAAATCGTTGTCATTGCTGTATTTAAATTATTTTAATTTTTAAGCGTATAGGTCAACGTGTAATCTATTTCACCGCTCCTCTTGCCTGGTCTCAGATCGGGCCTCCAGGCTGATGGCCAGATTAATCAGTCTGTTGGTGCTAGCAATATGCAGTCCAGCACAGGCATCACAGCCCGACCTATCAGATTCCCTTGTGAAGACATCTAGGGGTCTATTGGTAATTCAAACTTTGACTGCATGTATACACTCAACCAAACATCACAACTACTGGAAACGCTTGAAGTCTCCCCAACTGTATGCCTCGGAATGTTGGCGAAATTTGTACATTATAATTTATACCTGGAAAATCTTAAAGGGACTGATCCCAAACCTGCACACAAAAATCACTCCTACAAAAACAAGAGACATGGCAGACGGTGCAGAGTACCTATAATGAAAAACATTGGCGCGACGAGTACACTAAGAGAGAACCTGAAGGGTGTCAGAGGTCCCCGACTCTTCAACGCCCTCCCTTCGTACACAAGGGAAACTACCAACAAGCCTCTGGATGTCTTAAAGGGGACTTCACAAGTTCCTCAAATCAGATCGTGACCAGCCGGGCTACGGTTCTTAAGTTGGGCTTCGTGCGGCCAGCAGTAACAGCCTGGTTTATCAGGCTTGATGCACCAGGAGGAGTGGCCTGGGACCGGGTCGCAAGGGCGTTGTACCCCAGGCATTTATTAAGGAAAGGCGTCAAAAATTTTGGTCCCTTTACACGCACACCTTTTTTTTCATTGAGTTTATTTTGCACTGTCTACCAAGCCTCTTCTTGCTTTCGTAGTACTCTGTACCTGGTAATAAAGTCCATAGGCTGGAAGAAGTTTCTTTTTAGGTGCCACCTTTAAAATAGATGCCATCAAACTTTAATTTTGCTTATTTCAGCTCCTGTTTCCAACAGACGTCATTCTAGAGTCTAGATATATGTTTCTGGGATCAAGGAATTCAAATTTAAATTTCTGAAATCCATAAAAATATTCTACGAATTTGACAGCTTTCTTTTTATAACAGCACTGGCTACAGAGAAGCTACACTTCATGAACTTTTTGGAAATTTATCTTCCAATGTTAAACTGTCAATGAATGCGCTGTGTGAATTCATGACCAGAAGAGGTGACCCATGAGAAATTTCAAGTCAGAAGCAACTTCATCGCCCAAAACTGTATTCCTGCTGAGATTGTTGAAAGTATCATGAAAGTCAAGGAACGTGGAGAAGCCGGTTACTTAACATTTAGAGAGGAACAGTTTCTGAAGAAAAGTAAAAAGCTTTCATAGGTGATTACGAAAGATAAACATCCAACAACTCAGAGAAATACAGCAGTACCTATTCAACATTCAAAGTCTTCGATAAGTTACCAAAAGCAAGGTACTGCTATGGCTGAAACAAGCGTACATATAGCTAAAGAATGGGGGAAAGGGAAAAATACTTTATAGTAGTATCTGTTGCCATCAAATATGGTTTTTCACGACAATGGCTTTCCCACTAAACCTGTAAATTATCCTCTGTTGGCTGAGCCTCAGAAGAAACTGAGGCCATTTCATTACTCTCTCCAACAACGTAATGTAATGGAAATTGTAGTTATTGTAGGTTTTATGCCACAGGTTCGCCAACTTAAAACAAAAGATGTGAAAATGTTTTTGACAATGTTTGAGTAAATGCGACACAGTACCAAATAGTAAACAGAGTAAACTTCATTCTTGATAGTTCCATTGAACAGTCCCCTAAAGCGGGATAAAGAGAACGACGAAATACTGATGATCCAACTCGACTGATGAAGACAAAATGTGATACTCCTATTCCCATTCTGATGGACAAGTTCTGGTCTTCCAACACAAAGATATACCAGTAACTGTTTTATCAACGAAGCAAAGGGGACGCCCATGACAACGATCGTAAATGGAACCATAACAAGAGACACTGACACCAGGGATACTAGCATCGTTAGCAATAATGAGATTAAAAGTGGCCCTGAACTACATTTCTTTACTATTATTACATTCACGGGGAAGCGTTAAACCCTTTAGGGGTCATATATCGCCTGGGGAAATGGAAAGCATTCAGATTCGATTCAAGGAATTAGAGCAGTTATAATTCATATCTCTACTGAAAAGAGATGAATTATACTGAAGAAACAGATGGTAAAATGATCAGCCATGAAGAAACAGATGGTAAAATGATCATCCACTTGTTCATTCACTGAAGAACATGTATTTATCACGAGAAGATGTAAATATATCCAATGTCATGTGTGTGCGAATTAAATGTTTCACAGTACTATCAAAGAACACTGATTTAGTACTAACTCGATATATCTAT